CATGAAGCTACCATCGGGACATCCTCAATACAATGAGCCTGGCATGGTGTGTAGGTTGCATAAATCCATTTATGGATTAAAAAAATCCCCAAGAGCTTGGTATGCCAAGCTCAGTTCGGTTCTTGAAGAAGTTGGTTTTCAAAGAAGTCATGCAGACTCATCCATGTTTGTTCAAACAAGAATGGTTGGAAAACTTGTAGTGTTTGATCTATGTTGATGACTTAATAATCACAAGGGATAATGCTGATGAAATTAGAAACCTCAAGGTCTCCTACAACAGCAGTTATCCATCAAAGATCTTGGAAGGTTAAAATATTTTCTGGGGATAGAAATGGCCTCATCAAGTAAATGGTTATTTCTTAACCAAAAGAAATATATCCTCGATCTTCTCACGGAATCAAACATGAGGGATACCAATCCAGTTCAAACTCCTATTGACAGCAAACTCAAGCTTAACTTGGAAGACAAACTGCTGCCTAATATTGGTTACTATCAACGGCTTGTTAGTAAGTTAATTTATTTAACTATCACAAGACTAGACATTACCTTTGCAGTAAGCTTAGCTAGTCAGTTCATGCATGCACCTACAATAGAACACTTCAACATCATTAAGAGAATACTTCGTTATCTCAAATGATCAATTGGAAGAGGAATTCTCATGAAAAAAAATTATAAGACTCAAGTTATTAGTTATTGTGATGTTGAGTGGGCAGGAAACCAAATAGATCGAAAGTCTACCACAGGGTATTGCACATTTGTGGGAGGCAATCTGGTAACATGGAAGAGTAAGAAGCAAAGTGTCATTGCAAGATCTAGTGCAGAAGCTGAGTATAGATTGATGGTATCCACATCATGTGAATTAATATAGCTTAAGGGTTTTTTGAGTGATTTGGGGCTCCAAACAAGGCAACCTATGTCAATGTACTATGATAGTCAAGTTACAATGCATATAACATCCAATCCAGTGTTCCATGAACGAACAAAACATATTGAGGTTGATTGTCACTATGTCCGTGCTCAGGTGCAAGCTCAAGTGATTCAAACTCAATACACAAGGAGTGCTGATCAGTTAGCTGACATCTTCACCAAACCATTACCTCCAAATCAGTTTAAACTTCTTCTATCCAAGCTCGGTTCCATCAACATTCTGGACCCAGCTTGAGAGGGAGTATTGAAAGTCAAGAGTGGGTATTTGGAACTATTGGTTAGGTTGATTAGTAGGGTGTAGTTGTCACCTTACTTCTAGTCATATCTTGTAAAGATATTGTATCTTCTTTTCCATACTTATAGGGTGGTTATAACCTTTATTGCTTTACCCCTCACCTTACTTTTCTGCTCCTTGTTTTATGGAGTTGCCGTGTAGAAGTGTTTCAAGGGTGATCAATGTGTTGATCACTCCTTGCCCTATATATCTTGTATCCTTGTGTGGTTGTTTCCTCATGAATCATAATACAAAAAAACACTTAAATCTCAACACTTGTAGATCACACTTGCATGAATGTCTTGCAAGATTGAATTTATCAACCATGATTTGACAAGATTGTTGCAACGATTCCACTATTGCAGTTCAGAGGCGGAGGATTTTGGTTGGTCTGCTGATAGTACCATCAATAAAGCTCTCTTTGTTCTTGGCACTTAGGGCTATTATCCTAGCATGACTCCAAGTGTCGTAGTTTTCTTCATTCAGTAGCTACGGAACGAAGATGGCACCCAATTGGTCTGAATGGTGCAGCAGGTACATCGGATGATTTGGATCATCGTGTGGGTTTGCCTCAAGCTTGGTTGAGGGCTTTTTTGTTTTGGTAGGTTTAGCCATAGAGAACGGCTAGGGTTTGTTAAGCGGAAGGTTGATGTAGACAGTAGGTTACCAGGAGCGTTACTGCTCTGATGCCATATTGAAACTGGAATATTTTGTGTATATTACCACGTTGAAATTGGTACAAGAGTTACATATTATACAGGAAACAATCTTCATCCTATGAATTAGCCTATCCAATATCCTTCCTTTCCTACATTCTTATAATCAAGGATAAATTACAATATACAGATTAAGGAAATCAATCCCAACTCATTCATTATTCTCAACAAACATGTATCTAGATTATGATTCCCAACAACTTAAAATTAATTTATTCACAAAAGCTAACAAACATGCACACAAGAGATTTAACATAATAGACTGAAGATGATTAGAAACTAAAAATATAAAAATAGAATAAACTAAAAATAATTAAATACAAATGGAATTGGAATAAGATTTGAAACAACGAGAAGATGGGTTAAGGTTTCAGTATCCACCACTAATCACCTTCACAAAGCAATGAACACACAATGCTATAAAATAGATTGAGATGCTCATGTTTGTGAGAAATTTTTCATTGTGACAGGAACACAAATGGTACACTACGTATTTTTATATAAGTGGTGAGAAATTTTACTTTTTAAGTTATTAACTATTAACACACATATCCCATCATTTGCATAGTAACACATGGTGAACCACCCCGTATTCCGGTCACATTGAAAAATCTCTTCATGTTTGTGAACCCAAAGGCATGGTATATATCTACTCTTTAAGCTATTGATTCCACTAAGTAACGAATTAGGCATGGTATCTACTCAAATCCTTTTCATTCTTGAAATATTTAGCATGGTATCTACTAAGTTGCACTTTGAGAAATCATGATAAAATGAAAATTGACCAACGCAAAGTCTAGAACAAGGTATCTATTCTGGTTTTTCATGATAATTAATTCCAAGAACTTGGCAATAGTTCTTTTGTCACTTGACAGAGGCACAAGACTTAGTCATCCAAATTTACCTATGTAACAAACTCAACACAAGGGATGATTATGGAAATCAAGCATAAGGAACATATGTAATGAGTGAGTGAAATATAATATGACATATATCTATAAACATCATCAAATCCCTTTATAACAAAAGCGTAATCGAAATTTTTAAGAAAACAGGACTAGGGCTTCAACCGTGCCCTAACTAATTAAGGTACTTAGGGCTCGTTTGGATGTGCTTTTAAAATGATTGAAAACACTTTTAAAAAAAATATTTTTGAATTCCAAAACCACTTGAAGTGCTTTCTGCAAGAAGCATCAGTTATGTGCTTCTTCTGGAAAACACTTCAAGTATTTTTCCAAGATTTACTTGCATTTTTACTAAAGATTGATCTAAAAATATTTTCACCAAAAACACTTTTAATCATTTTAAAAGTACATCCAAACGAGTTTTTAGTTACTCATAATGAAATTTGATAGCAAAAACATTAACAAGAAATAAAAAGAGGAAGAAAGAAAAACTCTGACGGTAACCATGGCTGCCTCCTTATTCATGAAATTACTCCTCCAAAACCCTTTCAAGTCGTGAGCCTTTATTCTCCTTTAACGGCCTTAATATTTCATTTATTTCAGACTTTATTTGGACTCTAGCCTCTTTTCAGCTATATTAAGTCCCAAGAAAATGGGACTTTTATCCCTCCTTTAATCTGCCACATTGAAACTTAATTGTAGAAAATATTAGATTTGCGCGCAGCTTGACCTTCATGTACTAAAACTGTCAAAATGTTCTCTAAAAAATGATATTTACGATCCGTAAAATTCTAAAGAAAATAGGCATCCGTAACTTTCCAAGCATGTATGACTTATTTCCTCATTCTTCCCGAATTAGTATAGTTTATTCCACGAAGCCAGCTGATCTGTGCAGGCTGTGCTGATGACATAAGATTTGTAAAAGCCTTTTTAGTCTCAATGCTTTCTTTTTAACTCCTTTTCCACTCTATGCTTGTTACAATGTTCAAAACACAAATAGAATGTAAAACCTATATAAAAGAGTAAAACAAAGATGTAAACAAGGAGAATTAATATGGATACAATGATGAATTTATAAGCACAACATGCAGCACCTCCAAATGAATAGCTTCATTTTAATTGGGACCTCCAACTGCCAGATTTACTTCCATATATGGTTTCTAGATTGAGTTGCGCAATTAACCCCATTCCTTTTTTCTTTAACCCTCAATTTCGCATTAAATCCATGGCAGCCACGTATCCCGTTTTGACTGTATATTCCCCATTTTTTATGTAGTGTCAGATTAAGCGATCATTACATCCCGGGCTGCTATTTGGTATCCCCAAGATCATATCTGCCTCATCCTCTTCGAAGCATTGCAACACATGTTCTATAATTTAGCATTGTTTGGATGATTGGAGTTTCGGTTTATCAATATAAGGAATTAGCACAAGTTAAGGAGCTCTTGATGTTTGCTTGTATTCTTGGATCTCTCAGATTTCTCCAACTTTCAAAGGTGTGAAAGGAACTTCATCAGATTTTCCCAACTGCAAGAGCTAACAAATTATCCCCTTTTTTCATGCAAACCAAGGGATTAAAGCCTGAAAGGCAGGCTAAATTTCAGCACCATCAACTGCTTGCATATTTCCTGCACTTAATTTGGCAAAATTAGTTGTAGTTTTCTCATGCAGATGCAGTTACGTCCATTGACTATTGACTAAGGTAGTGAGCCCACCCCCCTTGCACCTGATGTCCAATCACCCTCCTAATAGATTATAATAGTTTACAATAGAATACCATCTAGCAAAAAAAACTATTGTCTCAATGCAAAGAGCTAGTTCATGCAAACGCCACCAAAAACGAATGGAAAATCAAATTATTATCTTCATTCTATTAGATATATTGTTCGTTCACAGGATTCTTCAAAATGAGATATGACCTAGAATATTAGTTCACCAGAGGCACAACTAAGTAGCGGCAGATGCAAGACTCTATCCTCATTGATCTTAACAATAGCACAGCAAATCTATTTTTTTTTCTTTCCTCCAATTTCTTCGATGACCCATTTCGTCGAGCACTCATACCACTGTGTGTTTAGCGTACATTCCTGTCATTTAGTGCTCTTTTATTTGTGTCTTTAGTCAATATTATTATAGTCAATAAAACAATATGCATGTGTAGTTTATAAGACGATCGGAGAAGGTAGAGAGGGGCACGTGCCCCCTGGCCCTTTCATTAGATTCGCCACTGCCTAGAGCCTTATAACGAGTGATATATCATCCTCTCAAATTTACAAACAAATTCCCTTTTGTAATGAGATAGAATTTTCATCGTAATAAACATACTGTAACTTCCACAAATCGCCAGGTTCAACGTGCGTAAAGGATATGTGCTGCCGTTGAACTGTAGCATGGCCGTGACATAGTACTTGAACCAAAGCATGTTTCTCGAACTACATGGGTATGGTAATGAACAAAGTAGTAGCATACATCTTTCAATTTTGTAGTTTTGGACAAACACTGGAGCTGGGATTTGCAATGGAACCTGCAGATAAACGAATTGCTAGAAATCAGGAATATATATCTCCATTGATCACATAATATATAAGCTGTACAAACTTACATATCTCAGTAAAACATGGTTGTTTAGAGACTGGATCCTCTTCAAATGGTGGTGGAACTTGGCCATACACCATTTCACAGCTCATATCTTCGAAATCTGCAGAAGGAAATCCAATTCAGAAAGCTACTTTTTCACTTGGAACGTATTCGAATTCGTATAGAGATTTCAGCCTTATATCCCAAATTTTGAGGATAATTGCAATCGGAAGAATTAGACATACTTGGAATCATGGTTAAGGGAAGTCCGAATTCATTGGTGAAGAAATCTTGTGTAGGAAACTTGCACATATTCACACACATTCCAACACACCCGCTGTTCTCCAGGTACCTAGATAAGCAAGACTGTTAAAGTCAGAAAACCAGTTTTTGCTTCACCACATTAGTTTTAATCTGTACACATACATTGCAGTTCTCCAAAATGAAAAACTGGTATGTGTTTTTCCATCGAGATTCTAATCTAATCTAAACTACGAAGAAGTAGATTCAAATTGGGTTCAGAAATGAAGAGTACATTGCTCTAGCCAATTTGGCTATGCCCGTGTCTCCAACTGATGTGCATTTTAATTAACTTGAAAACAATTTATATTCTAATTTCAATTAGTACATAATGAAATATGAAAGAATACCACCTGCATTTCTTTATGTGAACTCCACTTCTTTGCTTCACCCCATCTATCTCAACTTCTACAACCTGGTAGTTGCCCATAAATTAGTATATGTACACTCATGCTATATATAGAGTCTGGTAAAACAGTATAATCACCTCAGAAGGCCCAACCAACCAGTGGAAGAAAGGCACAGTCAACGCAGCATTGAACTCAGCTGCCCATTTTGTTGGTGGAAATAGTTTCTTAAACTGCAAGAACAACAGGTTAATAGTTAATTACCTACTGATAACGATCTTATAACAATTGTGATTAGATTAAATTGCACTCACACATGAACTTTGAGCACTTAATTACACTGCCTAATGTGGTTAATCATATATGCTTGTTCAATAATGTGGACAACAAATTGAACTAAACAAACCAAACCCGATCCCCTTCACATGGAGACTGGCATGTGGTGTGAATATACAATATAATATGTCCAGATGACATGGTTGATATATTATGGGCCTAAGGTACAGTGTTAATAAATATATACACGTGTTATAATATGAGTGAATTTGTAACGCCATATAATTAACAATGCCGTCACACTAAAAATTTATACCCAACTATCAAAATTTTGAAGGCAAATGATCATGTTAATTAATGGATATGATCATCCCACAGTAAATTAATCACTAAAACATTCAAATTAATGAGATATAGACCGACATTAGAGGACTGAAAATGTTGCATTAGTTCACCTGCTCTGGCGCACCTGGGGGCAGCATAGACAAAAGCACTTCTCGAACCACCTTCTGCTGCTGACTCCGAGACCTCCCCTGCATCACTCTCTTGGACACATCCACAAAGCTCTCGTAGTCATATTCCCACCACGCCTTCTCCTTCGTCTCAGTTCTCGGTTTCGCGGGAGCTGCAAACTTCATCATTTTCCGAGCAAACAGAGTCATGAATCCCCTCTCGAAAAACCCATCGTTGTACTTGGTCTTTTGCCCCATTGGAGCCGGCTCTCCCGATGGTTCTGCAATACCACATCGTACGGAGCAACCAGAAACACTCGGTTTACATAACGATAAGTGTTTGGGTGTTGTAAATTGGACAGTTTGAAAGCTTAGAACCACCATGAAATTAATCACTTTAGTTCTGTTGGTACAAAGAAAAGAAATGGAAACCGAAACTCAGAAGGGCAACATGACACAGAGTTTTAATGGGACTGGTTTTTAGTTCATACAATTTACCTGAATAGATTTCTGGTTGAGTTTTCCTCTGTTTTCGTGACAAAAAATTATGGCCACACATACCCTTTTTTGGAAAGAAATTTATGTGTTTTTATCCGTTCCTATTTATTGGTCCCTCTGTTTTGTCAAATTATTAGCAAAACCAGTTTAGCATGATTTTTTTATTTATTTTTAATATAACCGATAATCTAAACTACACTTAAGTTACGAAAATAAATTTTAAATTCGGATGCAAAAGAGCGAACACAATACCTTAACCAAGTGACCTATGTGTTAATATCTCAAGGTTGAATATGCTATCACATTGAGGGTATTATTTGTAGATCCAGTGCAGACAAGTAGGTTGAGAACTGTTTGGCTGGTCCCGGATTTATGAGGTTCTAGAGGACCGGAGAATTGATAATAATAGCTTTGGTGGGTGGATTTGAGGTCAAAGCACACGCCACGCTTTTGAGCCTAAAATCCTAGACATTGGCAGATAAGATTGGGTCTGCTGGCTGGCTTGGGCCCTGGCAAGTTCATGACGTTCGAAAATAGTTGATTGTGGGGGATGGCAGGGCCCTGTCCAAGGTCTTAGCTTTGGCGCAAGTAGAGGCGTGTAAGGGGCGCGTTAGCATCCCTTTCTCCATTCATAGCGAGATTCGATCTTCAATAGGGGGCACGTTAGCACTACTGTAAAAAAAATGGAGAGCTAACGCGTGCCCAACACAATCAAAAAATATAGAACCCCTGCATATGAGCCTCACATTACTAATTGTCAACTTCTGTGTTTTTTTTAGCGCAACAGCACATCAACTTGAGCCCACCATTTTTGCCCAATATAAATGAATGGTTTTAGGCCCAATAAAAGAACTGCAGGTCTGATGAATAGTCCAATTAAACCGTACCTTTTTATGATTGCAAAGGAACAATTCTATCGGGGTGCACAAAATTCTCGAGAGTTTGCAATAGGATGTGATATCCACACACATTTTTAATTTTCGGCTGTCGAATTAGATGAATTGAAGAAGATCAATGAATATAAATTATGTAAAATGAGATGTGTGGATAGCACATCCCCTTGCAATTTGTTGAGCAATTGGTGGCGTTGTCAAAATATGCTCGAGCCATATTGCCGAGTTCTTGACCTCTTCCAAGCAACGGTGTTGAGGCATGTCGAGCATAACCCCTCTCGACATTTGCTGAGTAGGTATATTAACGAATCTTTGGTGGACACTCTCAAATCTCGTATGATAGGGTTCTTGGAGGACCTTCCAAACCATTTTCCCGTCTTCTATAGGGTGATCTCGGCACCCAGTTGGTCTCCTAATGCATACATCCTTGGGTGCACGTCCTTCTCCATCATGTTATTAATGAATTTTTAACGACACATGTTATATATAATCAAAACCGTTAATTTTTTAAAATTATATCTAAAAATCACCTCTTTACAAAATAATAATAATAATAATAATAATAATAATAATAATAATAATCAAATTGTTGACTGTTTAATAATCCTTAGGTGCAGCACCAAAGTACTGTTAACGAAGAGATGTCTATTGGCTGCACTATTACGCAAGCCCAAACCCTATTGGAGTAAATGCTATGCAGAACTGCATAAACTGCACCCGAAACTGGCATCTCATGATACCCAATTTTGCCTGCAATGGTGATAAAAAGTCAACGTTTTTTTCTTAATGCATAAACATAAAATGTGAGGATACTTTTTACCCAAAAATAAACATGGGGAAATTATCTTGATTTTCATATTATCTCAAAGCATTGGGAAGGAAGAAACAGTGTATGATAAAATCTATGACCTATATATATACATGTATACATATATACATATGTGTGTGTATGTGTATTTAAACACTGATTTCTGTGTTGCAGTGTGCATAAGTGCATTCCCATCCAAACTTGAACTGTGGTTTGGAATCTCATTGAGCTCCATTACTACAGGTGAAAGCCATAGGTCTGCATGCAGTTTGACTATTTAGTTTTCATTTATGCACGGTTTGATGGATAGTAGTTGGGAAACAGAAAGAAATTGTAATGGAAGGACCATGCATATATGGCCATAATGGCCTGTCATATTTCTTACAGATAACTAGCTTTTATACTCTCATTGATTAAGAAGGATGAATATAATATTGGAGGGTAGGTGCTACAGAGAGGCTAATTATTATTTTTTCCTCAAAATTAGTGGCAGGGGGAGGGAATTGACTTCTTTGCACTTCATTTCTGTGACAGATAAACTGTTGCTAGCTACAGTTGACATTTGTCTTTCAATTTTGAATGATGCTTCTTCTTCCATCTTCTGATTTTCTTCGACCTTAAAGGTCTGGTTTGGTACTTAACTAGCCTTCTTCTATTCTTTATATTAGTTTTATCTAAAGGAGAAGTTTTTTAATGTAACTGTCACGCTGTTACTATACTTAATTTTATGAAATTTCAATATTATCGTTTACTTATATTCTAACACATGAATTAATCTCAGCGGTGTGACCACCACAATAGTTATGCATTGTTATTTTAAGTCCCACAATTACCAATTCCTACGTAGTCATTCAAAGATTGAACAATAGAGTCATACATAAATATTTTTTACTTCAATTCACTACCTACATTACAATCTTTTATCACTATTTTGCAGTAGGCCAGTTTCACTATGTCTCACACTACGAGTTATAATTGTAGAGCCTGCGGACGTTAATGGGAGAGCTTATACTTTCATATCTCCATCAAGTAACCGCTCTGCTATTATCATATTACCAGCTTCTGTGGGGTGATATGCATCCCAAAACACGTATTTCGATCGATCGTCACACAATGCAGAGCTTCTGTTTGCGTCACGGCTCTTGAAGCAAACAAACAGCGGAAAGTACCCTCCACAGCATGGTTCATTTACATTGGCACACCCTAGAAATACCAAATTCAAAAACCAAAAGATAAAAACTAAACCGAATGCACTTTATCATATAGTAAAAATAGATAAAAGGTAGGTCTCTTTAAACCCTGGCTACCAACTTACCATATTGATGATAGTTTACTATAATCTTCATGAAGATATCAAAGGAGTTTGCATAGAGAAAGATCGCTTCAGGACCCAGCTCTTGATTAAGTTGATCTAAAACCCCATTAAGTTTCATATTGTAACCTTGGATTATTTCATTCACCTCAGCAAAACACCGTCCACTCAAACTGATGGCACGAATAAATGGTATGCATCCTAGGGGTCCAATCCCTGCCACAACGAACTTTCTAGCTCCCAGCTCGTGCAGTCGCTTTACAAATCAAAATATTATGGTTAATTAGAGTTGTTGGGGGTAATTTATTAAGCTTTTGTCATTATATTAGACAAACAAGTTATTGATCCACTACTAACCGTATTGATATTGTCCTTTAATCTGCATCTTACGATATGTGTGGTGGTTAATCACAAAATGTATTGATGTCATTAGAAGTTGAACCACTCAATATAACTCATATTTTAAATTTGTCAATAATTCGATGTGAAATTCTTGTATTCTTTAACAGTTCAATTAGGTGATTGGTTAAAAGACGGTACCTTAAGCTTTATGGTCAAGACTCAAGTTAGAGACCATGAATCTTGGAACATGGCCTTATCATCACCAAAGAATGGTATGGATGGTTGGAAATAGTTGAGAACATCATTGAATCCAATTGCGACCGAGAAGGTTGTCTTCTTCAAGAATTCCATTGTATTATTTTCTCCCATTGTTTTCACCATGTTATCTCTGCTTTCCTCAAAATTATTCACTTGCTCACGCAGGGGAACTCTTCCGATCTGTACACAATAATTTCAGAATATCTAAAATAAAAAATGGTATATATTGTGATTAGTGCTAATTAAGTACTACTTACAAACAAAACTCCTGTTTCATCCAATATTCCACAGCTCCAGAAGCATAATTAATTCCTCTGAGGGTTGAGTTGGCTTGAGTGTTTGGGGTTAGATAAGGTGGAGGAAATGACCTGATGGCACCATGCAATTAAGCTAAAATTAGTGCTAAAATTGGTAATTAACTATGAATATGACAGTCAATAAACACCAATTTAAAAGTCAATTTTATTAAACTTCTGGGTCCTGTGAAAATAACTCTTTGTAATCGATGGCGACTGCATTATCATGTGCCACACTGAAATGAATAGCAAAAACTTATGTGACCCAATTTAATATATACTTATGCAGTCTGATTAGACTCCACTTAATAGATTATTACTGAAACTCATTGAGCTGATCTATAAAACGACAGCTTCGTCTATAAATTTGAACTCAGAATTTCTTTAATAAAATTATGACTGGACGACACTAAATCAAAGATCATTCTCACTACATTAAATGACCGAAGTTCGGATCCGGGATATTAGCAATTAAGTTATGAGTGATATATACTATGACAGCTACCAAAACCAGTTAGCTGTGGAAATATTCCTTCCCAAAACTGAAATTTCTAAAACTAGTAACCGTACCTCCAACTTCAAAACCCTGTTAACTGAGTAGTTCTACCATGTGAGGCTAAGGTGGTGGGATCAGATCAACATTTAGTGCATTTACCTACAATGTCCGATATGGTTCGACCATTTGTGAATCGACCGGTTGGTCGACCACCAGAAGGCTTGAAATCTATGCCATAAGGAGGAGAAGCAGCCTTTGAGAGTGTGAAAATGTAGTCATTGTTTCCAGAATGGAAATGCATTGAAAAGCACAACAATGTTTGAGCAGATTACATACAGAAGAAGAAAGTAAGAAATCTTAAGGCCCTCCGTTTTTCATTATTGTAGCAAGTTGTAATTAAGTTTCACTTTCATGGTTATTATAGACGCATTATTATTATTATTATTTTTTTTTGTTGAAAGATAGAATTTTATTGAATTAAATACGAATAGCTATATTTGCATTTTATGCTAAAATATTAAAAAGAAATTTTGGACCCAACTCATCTAAGCCAAATCTCCCGCAATGCTTA